CAGGAGGTTGGTCCAGATGATCTCCAGAGGTGTATATTTCCACAATGTGCCACATATGAAAAGACTATTTTAGGAATATTAATGAAATGTAAATCTTGGGCCATGCTCATGGATGGTAATTATACTTAGACATCCAAATCTCTCAGACTCGGTTGGTGTTCAAAGCCATGTTTCATGCTGTAGCATCTCAAGGATGGAATATGATCTTGTGATTTCACCGCTGTGGACTGTATCTTCTACTGGCTCCGTTGCTTTGGGTATTTTACTTCCATTATCTGGCAAGAAACTGGATGTAAGTGCTGGAAAATCCACGTCACACGTGAAGTCAGGCTTGAACTGCGGGAGAGCATAGAGTCATAGGACATAATTTTGTTTATTTTTAACGAGTGGCCAGTGTTCATATCCCTTGGGCAGCTTAAGGAACGTGTACCTGTTAATGTGACATGGCCCACTGAGAGCCACATGACCCACCTCAGAGCTGTGACCAAGGGTAAGCCTGGGCCAAGCTCCGTGAGGTCCTTGTCACAGGTGATCGATGTGCATCACCCTGCCTTCGGTCATGGCTTTTAACAAGCTGTCAGAACTTGCTAACACTGCTTTTAAGTGAATGCTGCTATTTCCTTTACTGTCTGTGGCTGATGTCTCATAAATACAAGGTAAGTTAAAAATGAAAAGATTAGTCCTGTTTCTGCTGAAGTCAGGAGCATTTTTAATCTTAATTTCTCACCTGCCTTTCATGAAGAATATATTCCACATGAATATCTAGTTTTCCATCCATCTTTTACAATCTATTACCTTCTGGGCTCTATGCTGAATTATTAAAAAGGGGCAAAGAGAAGAAAATGAGACAATTTTAAATTCATTTTGACCTCTTGATTAAACAATATCCTCACTGTACTATGAAAGATTATAAATGCCAATGTCTACAGTTACCCGTTTAAGCTTAGATAATCATAAACATCTTGATGCCTGAGCACCTTCACAAACCTCAGCTATGTTATAAACCGAAATAATCTGGGCTGACACTTCAACTTTTATAACATCTACTCTTTTGTTGTCATGCCCAAAATTGCTGTGCAGGGTTACTAAGGAAGAACAGCTGAGGTGGAGAGAAATGTAAATCTGGTTTGAATGGCGGGTGCTGCGCTGGCTCCCGCAGCCCTGCGTTGAGATACAGATGTGGAGGATGCGCAAGGAGGGTGGGGGGGAGATGAGGAAAGCACATCTCGTGAATCACACTCCTATGCAAACTACCCAAAAGTAGGGAAATCAGGATTATGAGGTATGGAAGGTGAATATCGCACGGCAATAAGTGCGGGCACTGGGAGCCAGGCCCAGCTCAGGGGGTGTCCGGGGGATGCTGCGTTGCCGGTGTGTCCCTTCTCCTACAGAATTCAGGAATTAAGCCCTCAAGAAGGGGAAGAACACATTTAAATCAATGAACAAGACAGACCAGAGAGCTCGTACTGTAGTTGCTTATGCTTTTTCCCAAAGAGAACTGCAGGTGAGTTGAAAGCATGATTTAATTAATTAAAGCAACCCAAGACAGCGAATGGGGAAAACTGAGATGGGATCTGGGCTTTTGGGGTGTTGAATGGCCCCAGGTGATTATAGCCTTCTGTTTCATTCTTAAATGGGAGTTTTATTAACTAACAAGTGCTGAAGCCAGCAGCAGGTTTCCTAAGAGGTAAATAACTATAATTTGTTTAATGAGCTGTTTTAATTTTTTTATGTAGTGTGCATGTGTGTGTGTGTATATATATACACACATACTTGTACTGGAGTAAAATCAGAACAGTTAGGGCTGTGGGATTTTGACATGCTGCTACCTGCAAAGCAGAAAAGAACGTTTTCAT